AACCGAGCTCTCTCTCTCTCTCTCTCTCTCTCTCTCCCTCCCTCTCGTCGCCCCAGACACCGGATATCTTTGTCTCTCGCCACGGAGGATCTCGCCAAGGTGTTTCAAAGGAAACATTATTCTAACATGCCCGTTTCGTTCGGCCTGATGGAAGTGGAGCATATCCTAGGTATGGATCGGCTCGTGTAAATATTTAGAGACGGAGAATGTCGGTAGATTTTCGTGAAAATTTGATGATTTTCGGTCCAATCGCCGTAGAATTATTTCACTCGGTTATTAAAAGCCATTTTCTAAATTAACACTAAACCTACCACGCGCGGTCTAAATGACCGTTTCTGAAATTTCCTTTAGAATTTCTTGTATACAAAGTTACTGTATCGCTGTATGACTTTACACAATAGCACAAAATTCGGTGCAGATATAACCGAATTTTATTGTTTAATATCCAATTAGCTAAAATCTCTTTCTATATTAAGATACAAATGTTTTTTTGCAGCGATCATTTGGGGACCGCCCATGGTAGGAATAGGCATACATGAAACGTGGATAGTGTTGATTAAAAATCCAATCCAAAAGATATCAATTGCAAAATTCTAACCAAAAATTTCTTAACCAAAAATCTCTCCACTCGAATCCTCTTCAACCCCCTTCAAACACCCTTGTCGAAATCCGGAAGAAATTGGAACATCCACCCCTCTGTCAGAGATTGGAAAGCGGGGAGATGGTCTTCCCTTATCCAATTATCCGGGAAACGGGAAGCTGAGCGGTAATCGGTGTATCATAAGCGGGTGACGGAGATAAAGATAGATGGCGGGGTATCGGTGTCCGGCATAAAGGTTCCAATTAACGGTTACACGCGCGATACGCGCGTTTGAAGCGACGTCCAACGTCGGACACAGCGTCGGCCATTAGGCCTGCGTAACGACGGGCCGGCCAGAGGGTTGCCCGGTTTAGTGCAGTGAATGCGCGCGCCCCAAAGGGGACGAGGTTTGCGCCGTGCATACACAGACGATAAACAACCGGCCCCGTATAAGGCCTGTACAAACTTGTCAGCGCGGTTGACGATGATTTACGAGCGGACTCTTCGTTTGAAAGGAAAGGTGGTGGCTGGCTCCGTATGAAATTCTAACTTCTTCCGCGATCGAGATCTTTTTTCGAAACGTGTTTCGAGAGATTTCGAATAAGAGATACGAAAGTTGTGTTTATATATGAAGTTTATACAAGTTGGACAGATTCTTGCGATTCTGGAGGATAATAAGGTTGGCGGTGGAAAAATTGGGTTCGAAATTTCGCGGTTAGGTTGTAACAACCTTTTGTCTCGATTGTCGGGATCATTTTCGATCTGGTGAGATCGATTCGTGGAAAGATTCGTTCTCGGTGGAGAACAATGAGCATTTGTGTTGGGGGCAGAAGCGATGATGAAAAGGGAATGATGGGCGAGAGATGGAATATGATTTGGCCGGTGCATGGGAATTGTAAATGGAGGCTGGGAACGCTGGGGATTGGTTAATGATGTTGGGGATGTGATAGACTTTGGGAGAAAGTAATATCGGCGAAGTGAAAATTGGGAGAAGTATTGGATTGGAGAATGGCCAATTTTACGAATGAGTGACGATCGATAACAAAATCTTCGCCAAAACGAAACGTAACGACTTTTGAGGAAAGAAAAAATTCTATCTTTAACGCACAATTGATAAAAATGAGTTTTGATCACGATCTGGTAGTGTAACAATAATATACGATTTGTTGAAATAAAATCTGTCGTCCAAACGGATCAACTCTGGCTAATCCATGTGCAATCGCATTGGGCGTAGAACAGCAAAAGGATTAAAGAGAGTATCTGGGAATTTTCCTTCGTATCTCCACAATACAAACAATCTCGATCGTTGGCCAAACAATTCTGGAGTTCAATTTGAACTTGGAACAAGAAACTTAAAACCGATCACGAATCGAGTTAACTTAATCGACAAAAAAAAAAAAAAAAAGAAGAAGAAAAGAGAAAAGAAGAGATGAATTCGCACGCTTGATAGCTCGTATAATTACGACTTATCGATCCGACCAGAGAA